TCGGGGACGCGCTGGCGGAGTTCGACGGCTCCGTGGGACAGTTGCTGCAGGCCCTGCAGGAGAACGGCCTGGAGAACAACACCCTGCTGTTCTTCACCTCTGACAACGGGTCAGTGGGCTCGGCAGGGGGGGCTTTACCTCTGCTGTGGGATGGGGGATAAGGCAGCGGTGGGGTCGTGGGGTGGCACTGCCAGGCGAGACCCCAGGGACACGAGGTGGGGCAGGAGGTACCCAGTGCACGATCTCTTCTGTGTCCCTGTGACCCAGCTGGGCCAGAAACCTCACAGGGGTCAGGCCAGGAGTGGCAGCAGCCCAAATATCCCCCGATTCCCTTCGTGTGTGGGTGACATTGGCCTCTGGTGCCCTGCTCAGGTGTCCCACACACCTTGGCTTCTGCACCTGCCCTGTAAGGCTGAGCAGGGTGGCACCAGGTCTCGCTGGTCGTGGCCCCGTTTGGCAGCACCAGGGGAGGGGCAGTGGGAACCCGTGGCCCTGATGGCAGGTGGTTCTTGTCCCCCAGCCCCTCCACCATGCGGATGGCACGAGGAGGCAGCTCCGGCCACCTGAAGTGTGGCAAGGGCACGACGTACGAAGGTGGCATGAGGGAACCAGCGGTGGCTTATTGGCCAGGCCGGATCGCCCCAGGTGAGCCTTGGCACTGCCTGTGCCAGCCCAGGAAACTCACCATCCCAGCTGGGATTGAAGTGGGGATGGCCGGGATGGGAGTGGGATCAGGGGCTTGAACTTTTCCTTGTGCCAGGAGTGACGCACGAGCTGGCAAGCACCCTGGACATCCTGCCAACACTGACTGCCCTGGCTGGAGCAGCCCTTCCCAGAGTGGCCCTGGATGGTTATGACATGAGCCCAGTGCTGTTTGGGACAGGGAAGGTGAGTCCTGGGGGCTGGCTCGGCTGGCCTTGGGCAGGGAGGCTGCTGGAGCCACGTGCCTGAGGAGCAGAACCAGCTGGGACTGGGGGAGATCCATGGGCTGGCACCTTTTGTCCCGTGGACTTGCTGGGTGTCCCCAGGCTGGCAGGAGCTGTGAGCAGGGAGCCAACAAGATGCTTCTGTTCATCACCCGCCCTCCTCCCCAGCCTCACTCTGGCTGTGGGATCAGGGCTGCTCTGGGAATCCCTGGAGTGTCTGGTGCTGTTCCAGGCTCTCCTCCAGCCGGGTGGCTGCACAGGAGAGCTGAGCTCTGCTGCCTCCCCCCCAGAGTCCCCGACAGACCATGTTCTTCTACCCTCCGGCCCCCGACCCCCTGCACGGCCCCTTCGCCGTCCGCCTCGGGAAGTACAAGGCTCATTACTTCACCCAAGGTCAGCGCTGCCCCTTCCCCCGGCACGGCGGCTTTGGGAAGGGCCGGGAGCTCGGGAGGAGGAGCTGAGCTCACCCGGGGGGTGTTTTGCAGGTTCCTTTCACAGCGGCACGACCCCAGACCAGGCCTGCCACGGGCTGACCCCGCTGACCCCCCACCTGCCCCCGCTGCTCTTCGACCTGGAGTCGGACCCCGCCGAGAACTACGACCTGCTGCAGGGCGGGGCAGGGCCCGAGGTGCTGCAGGTCCTCAGGGAGATCACCCTGCAGAAAGTCCTCCTGGAGCAGCGCATGGAGTTCGGGGAGAGCCAGATCAGGAAGGGCCGGGATCCTGCCCTGCAGCCCTGCTGTGCACCCAACTGCACCCCCAAACCCTCCTGCTGCCGCTGCTCCCAGCCCGGGGCTGCCCCACACTGACACCCCAAACCCACCAGACCCCCCAGCCCAACTAACCAAGCTCAGCCTTAGAGCTGCCCCACGGCCCCAGCTCGGGCACCCCTTGGACTAATGGGGTGCTGGGGCAGCAAATGGGGGTCGGGGAGACCCCCAACCCTGCTGGGAATGCNGAGTTGTGGTCGGAAGCCATGGGCCGGAGCCCGCAGGTCCCTCTGGAAGCACAAAGCCATCACTGCCCTGCCCAGGGGCCGCTCAGGTCCCCTGTTGTCCCCCCACACTGCACTGAGGGGCAGCAGGGCCAGGGACCCCCGAGGGCACGTCTGTGCCCCCGTTCTGCTGGGAACCCCCCCAGTGTTCCCGAGCTCCCTCCTGCATCCCAGGGCCACCTACCCACAGCTGTCCCAGTTGCCACCCACAGGCCCAGCCAGGGCCAGCAGGACCAGGAGCCACAGCCAAGCCATGGGTGGCAGTACCAGGAGTAGGGGGTCACCTCCAGTGCAGCCCCCACGGCCCTGCCGGTGCCCCCGGGCCGGGGCTGATGTCACAGAGGGGCCGGTTCCGTGGGCTGTGCGTGGTGGCCTGGGGAGAGGGGGTCAGGTAGGTAGGTGGTGCAACATGTGTTATGCATAATACAAATATCACAGTGTCATATATATTTACATTTTTTAATATTACAGTTACATATTATATTTTTATTATATACAGAACATACAGTAAACATACAGTTCTGTGTGTTATATACAGTACAGCTTATGTGTTATATACAGATTAGTCAACAGTAACAGATTCTGATAGATATAATCTATTAAAAGAATATATACTGAAATCATATAATGTGATGGAATTAGAATAGATCAGAAGAATATTATATCACTTTCTATCTACTATAAGTCACTATGAATTAGCACTGGGAATGCAAGTATATATTTTACAAGAACAAATTAAATGCATGCATATTACAAGCTATTACAACCATTACATAATTCCAGCTGGGAAATGGTCATGGGCCACTGCAGCCAGAACTGGAGCTGCTCATCCTGCTGCTCAAGCCATTTTACCCCTCAGGCACTGCAGGAGCCTCTGCAGCAGGTTAAAGACCTTCACGGGGATCTGGAGTGGGAATGGATTGGCCGTATCCCAGACTGGCCCTGGATGGCTGGGGCTGGAGCCTGGTGGTATTTGAGCTGGGAAAGGTGAGTCCTGGGGGCTGGCTCGGCCAGCCTTGGGCAGGGAGGCTGCTGTGGGGCTGGAGCCGTGTGCCTGAGGAGCAGAACCAGCTGGGATCGGGGGAGATCCGTGGGCTGGGACCTTGTGCCTCGCTTGGCTCGTGCCATGGAGCTCCTGGGCTGCAGGATCAGGGCTCCTGTGATGCCTCCCTGGAGCCTGGGCCTGGGCCTGTTCCAGGCTCTCCCTCAGCCAGGGCTGCACAGGGACACACTGACACCCCAAACCCACCAGACCCCCTGGCTCAACTAACCAAGCTCAGCCTTAGAGCTGCCCCACAGCCCCAGCTCGGGCACCCCTTGGACTAACGGGGTGCTGGGAGACCCCCAACCCTGTCAGGAGTGTGGGGCAGGGCCTGTGCTCCGTGGGGGATGTTCAGCCTCTGACGGGAGCTGTGACACGTCCCAGGAGGGACCAGGCTCAGCATCTTCTCCAGAGCCACCACAGCTCCTTGGAGGTGGATCTCCCAGGATCCAGGAGGAGCAGAGGGCACATCCCGGATCCAGAGATCGCCCCTGGGCTGGAGGGTGGGATGGGGGGTCCCGGCAGCCCCAGGGGCAGCACCTTGGTGCAGAGGGGACACGCCTGGCTGGGCAGCAGCAGCTCAGGGTGGGCATCCTCCAGCACCCCCACGGCCCTCGTGGCTCCAGGACTCCCCGCTCCAGCTGCTCCTGTTGCTGCCCCGCTCCTTTATGAAATGGCTTTTCCCAGGAATGGGACACCTGAGGCTGTGCCGTGGGAAAGCTGGGCCACAGGAGTTTGTTTGGCAGCCTGTGGGGTTTGGGTGCAGGGCTCAGTGCCAGCAGCAGCCAGCCAGCAGTCTGTGTGTGGGACTGGTGCTGATGCCCCTTCCCCTCCCCTCTCTCCCCTCCTCCCTGTCTCCGCCCTTGTCTCCTCCCAAAGCCGGGGCCAATCCCGCTCATTTTCTCTCCTGCCTCCCCGATTTTCTCATCCTTACCTTACACAGGAGACTGAATTGGGCTGAAAACAAGGTAAATGGGGAACACAAACAACTTTATTTCAGTAAGACACTGAACTTCACCATCGAGGTGGGCTCAGGGGAGGAGCGTGGGCAGGACAGAGCAGTCCTGGGCACCGGGGCTGCCTTTGACCCCACAGTTGTGGCCCCAATAGGGAATGGTCTTGGTCCACTGTAGCCAGAACTGGATCTGCTCATCCTTCTGATCAATACAATTTGGCCCTTAGGAACTGCAGGAGTTCCAGGATCAGGTTAAAGAATTGCCCCAGTATCTGTTGTTGGATTGAAATGGCTGTTAAATTTCCCAGTTCCATTGGCATCAGTGTCTCCATAGAGCTCAGGCTGGACTCTGGCTCTGGATTCTGCTCAGGAGTCGAGGTAGTGGTTGGCTCTGGCGTTGGAATGGCTGTTACTACCGGGAGCAATCCCATCTGGATCAGGATCCAGTTGTGGAATTCCTGGGTGGAGGTGAAGATCCCGGGTCGTTTGGCCCCAGCACAGCCTTTCCCCCAGCTGGTCATTCCCACGAACCAGAAGTAGTCAGCTCTCATGTCCTTGCAGACCAGGGGACCCCCGCTGTCCCCCTGCAGCAGGAGAGAGGGCTCAGGGTTTGTGGGGGCTGCTGCAGCAGCAGGGCTGGCTCCTCTCTCCCAGCCCCTGCCAGAGCCACATTCCCAGCATGGGAAGGCTCTGCCTGGGGGCTGGAGCCTCCAGAGCCTCGGCTGGGAGCAGGTTGGGGGGTTTTTAAGTTGAGGCTCTCTCCCATCTCAGCACAGTGACCAGGGATGTGCAGAGCCCTGGGAGATGGGACAGGGACCCGTGGATGGGGAAGGGGAGGGCAGCCCTGGGATAGGGGCTGTGGGACAGGGACCTTCCTGGGACAGAGGACATGGGAAAGGGCAGCCCTGGGATATGGGACAGGGACCCATGGATAGGAAAGGGGGCGGCAGCCCTGGGATAGGAGACATGGGACAGGGCAGCCCTGGGATAAGGGACATGGCACAGGGCAG